CTAATTTTTATGATATACGTTAATTATAAAAGGCGAGCACAGTTCTGGCAAATGTTAAACTCCACGTAAATGTTTCTTGAATAAAGGATACTTTGCCACAGGCTGCTGTTTACATTGAGACGTACGTGGAGCACAAGGGAGCACTTTGGAGCAATTAAAGCCCATGTTTACAGAAAACGAAAACGGTAAAATGAACCTAGAAAGACAGACTTGTGGAAAAGTAAATATCAATCACTAGTAAGGGAGATGGTTTTTGTAGGCAGAGAAGGAGCTAGGGCTATCTGACAGGAAGTTGAAACAGAAGGTCTTAGGCATCTGCAATAGTCAAATGCAAAGCAGTGGGGTTAAAGCTACATCCTCTGCAGCCCCTCCTCCCTGGAGAAGTCCTGCTGTAGCTAACAGAACTAATCTTCACGACTGCCTTTGGGGTGTGTGTGAGTGTGTGTACGTGCGAGTGTGTGTATGATATTCATGTATTTACCCACTGAGATTTTTCTTTTTTTTTAATGACTGTCTTTCTTATGCAGTGTCTGTTCCTCCATGCCCCCAAACAAAATCCTCCTCGAAAAGTGTGTTTCTGTATTCTGGGAACCCTCATTTTGCTTAGCCATGTTCACCAAGACAACAGGAGGCAACTTTGAGATCCTGCTGCTTTTCTAGTGTGACATTCTCCTTCCTGAAGTCTCAGTTTGGATCTTCTATTCAATAGCACGTATGCGGCCAAAAATCCTCTCTTCTGGTCCTGCACACCCAATCCTTTCTCTTCCTCCAGTTCAATCAGCCCTGTTGATAGTCTCTCCTGTGGGCTTTCTATGCTCTCTCTTGGGATCTCAAGATTTGAGTAATTTTCATCATAAAGTTTTGGCAGATTAACTGATTTGGGCTCTGAGCCACACCAACTTTTCCTTCTAGGTTATCTACAGCAGTGGGATCAGACAGATGTGCTCCACAGACCCAAGTAAAGCTTGGAAGCTTCCTGTGGGAGCTTCCTGCTTGCCCAGGAAAGTTGCAGAGCATGTGGCATTTAGCTACATCCACACTCATATAAGGCTTTTGGCTTTGGAGATAATCAACTCCTCGATACCATTTTGTTAAATAAAGTTGACTCAATGAGTCTGCATTTGGTGTTTTCAGTAACACAAGCTACAAGACCAAACAGCAATTGTAGTATTTTTAGCTTTACCTTTCATGTTCAGTAGCTGTTCTTGAAATCAGTTGAAACAACTGACCTTGCAAAATCTGATTTACCCAACCACACCCGGTACAAGCACAGGAACTACAGCCAAAACTGAATAAGACTGTGAAGTATTAGCACAAACCCACTCTTCCCCGGAAGTCATAATAAGAGAGTATGTATGCTTTTTTAAAAGGCTTCTAAAGCTTTTCACATGCATGATCTCATTTTATCCTTACCATGAAGATGGTCTGGGCCGCTAAGAATTGTAGGCAAGCTTAACTAATTTAAAATGTTGCACTGCAGTCTTGGTGAAGAGTCTGTCAAACTCATTAAGCAGGTTTCAGTGAGGTATCATAAATGAAGTTATCCTGACACATGGTAAGCAGCATATGCTTTTAGGACTCGGGAATTGCAAAGTCACTATCCACAAAGATGGGCTATAATCATTCTGCTGGTGTTGCCCAGTGTGATGGTTTATAATCAAAGATTTTGTTTAAATACAGCTCTCCTCCATATCTCACCCTGAGCAAGAGGAACCAACTTCCAGTCACCCCACTCACTCTCAGCTGTGATGGGTTTGGCTGATAAATAGAGGCAGCCAAGTGAAACTGCTCCTGCAAGCCCTGGCCGGGTCTAGCTATCTCCATGTACGTCAGTGGGGTATCTGCCCCATTTTCCTCCGGTGAGAAGCTCATATTTGTATAAGAGAATAAATAAATAAACAAATAAATAACCAGAAGAATTAACCAGTCTGTCACAGATGGCAGAAAAAAGCTTTCTGCGTATCTGACGATTCCCTTGAGAGCACATTTTCTTTCCATCCTAGAAATGCTATCAGACAAAACGTGGTTCAATACTGGCATCCTGTGGCCGGAGAAATTCGTCAGATCTCTGAAAATCTCAGATCCTCAGGTTCTGAGCGTTCCCTGGCTATCTGTACTGAGCAGCTGTTCACCATTTTCTGCATGCTGTCTGGTTACCTCGCGTTTTTTATGGACACGCCCTAGGTAAGATGTATTTTGATAGACTATCTTTTCACAGGGCTAATCTGTTCACGTATATTAGGGTGAAAATAAATAATAATATAAAAGCTAAAGAATGTTACCCAACAAAAAAATTTGATGTTAAATCGCTGAACACACTGCTCCAAGCAGAGGCTCTCTGGCCTCCAAATTCACCCTGAGTCTCTCTCTAACAACAAGGAAGCAGTTGGGAGGAGAGGCGAGGTGGAGGATCAGGACTCTGTTGTTCTGTGTGTCTATGTGTGAGTGTTTTGTTTTGGCCAAAGGCTAGGAAAATACTTGCTATTGCAGCCATAAATAATATGAATTTTCTTTATTTTACTACAAGAAGCTGCCTAAGAGGAAAATCAAGCAAAATTACGGAGGATTGTTGCTTTTTGCTACTCCCTTTCAAGGCAGCTATAAAGATAAAGGGTTACAATGATCGCAGTTTAAAGGCAGAATTGCCATGTTCCCTGGTAAGATTTAAGGGCATTTTTGAGAACCAAATAACCATTATGGGACCACTGCATTGCTGCTACTTTCACAAACGGCTAACACTAAATGTGGAGTCCTTGGAGATGTGCAAAACATCATTAGAGACAGAAAAATAACAAAAAACTTCAAAATTACATGAGCATGGAAAAACATCGAAGAAGGATCAAGCATGTAGTTCATAGGCACTGACAAAGAAATGGTACAAAATCTGTACATGTTAGCAAAATGAAAGAATTTTTAGAGTTGGCTGACTACAAACAGAAGGAACAAAATGCCTACTAAGTAAGAGAGAATAAGGAATTTGCTCTTTTATCCTGATCCCTTCTCATTGTAGTCCAACTCTAGGGCTACCAATTCTTTCTTCCTAAATTCTCTTGGTTTTCCCTGGTGGTCAGGGGTTTTAACTGTCTCTAGCCAGGATCTGAGAGAGACACAGATCTCACAGTGATAAGCGCTAATCTGTCCTGAATGCTGATAATGAGGAAAGCAATCTTAATGGCAATATTGTTTAACAAGACTTTTCTTTTTCAGAAAAGGCTCTATTTATTGCCTACAACAGAGAAAACATAGCTAAAAATATTCTACGGAAAACTAGTGTGATCTCACAAGAAACAGAGATTAAATACACTGCTTGGCAATCAATGTGCCTATGTTAGCCTTAAAGAACCTAACTTTTAAAGTAACACTTGTTTGGGGAATAGTGTTGCCAGCTAGAAAACAAAACTCAGGTATAAATAGTAGTTTAAGGTCTAAAGATACCAAGTACCAATTACAAGCCAATAAATATTAGTAGTGAAACTATTTTGAATGAATGACTTCTAAATGAGTTTGTGTAGAGTACTAGAGATTCAATATGTACACCAATTTGTTTTGCTTTTTTTGTTTTTTATTTTTAGTGACACTGACATTACTTATTAACAATTTTAGCTGAAATTTCCCTGAACTTTTTACCAGGCTTTTAAAAATTAATTATGGTAAAGTAAGTAAATGAGAAGAACAAAGGTTGTTTTCTAAACTCCCAAACTCACCAGCAAGAACATATCTGCTCCTCTGGCTGTATTTTTTTATCTTTCTCTCTCTTCCACTAGACACCCAATCTAGAAATATCATAGACTTTGAGATCTAGTAGATATAGGTTCAAATCCTAGTTCAATGGTTTAAAATCTGCACACTCAAAAATAAATTCTTCATCTCCCTGAGTCCTGGTTTCCGCATCGGGCTAGAGGAATAATACCACCTCACACCTGGATCTTGTAGGGGACAGAACGAGATGATGCTAATGTAAGGGAAAGGGCTTGCTTGGCAGAGCACCTGATAGAGTGTTGAGCTTTCAACAGAGGCTGTTCCTAAGCACTCTTCCTCCCTACTGATCTAGTATGTTTCCTCCTCCCCCAACTTACCTGGTCACCAAGCGCTGTTGGTTTTTTTCTCTTTAATACCTTTCACTTTCTCTCGGACCTTGCTGACACTGCTTGTGTTCAGATCCTCCTCAATTCTCATCAGGATTACTGCAGTAATCCAAACTTGATTCTCTGTCCTCAGCCTCAACCCTCTCTAATCCATCCTTACTGCCCAGGAAGATTTTTCTAAAATACAAAACTGCCTGAATTTGAGTTCTAGATCTTCTACTTAATAGCTGTATGACTGGGAACAAGTTACATGAATTCTCCCATAATTCAAAATCTATATAATGGGGATAACAATTTTTCCTACCTTAAAAGGTTATTATAAAGATTAAATAAGGTCATATATGGGCTAACACATAGAAATCACACAATAAATGTGAGCTGCTATTCTTCTCTTCATCATTCTTGCTGTTCTTATGACCCCCCTGTGATTTGCCATCACTGTTAAACAGGGTAGTGTTATAATCAGGATATTTAAGACCTTTGCACCTTTGCAAGTCTCTGCCTAAAGCCCCACCAAATCTCATACCACTTATGAAGTGGTATGTTATGATATAGAATCAACAAACTGCGTTCAACCCAGAATGAAAATAATTAGGTTAGCAACAGATTCAGAGAAGCTATTGGGTCGTTTACAGAACTGCTGATAAAATTCTATATAAAAGAGCTGTTCTCCTAAGAAGTGATTAGAGAAGCCCAAATGAAATATCCTGAAAGGATTCAGTGACTGTACCTTAAACACCCTTCCTCCTTTTTCTTCTCTCAGTTCTGAATAAAATGCAATCACATATTCAAACTAGCAATTTTCGCACTTATATTTTTAAACTTTAAGATGTGCGTGTTATATATGTACCCACGGAGGGGTTTTCTACAACCTAGTCTCTCAAAAGGTCCTGAAAACCTGTTTCAAAGTCTTACCTGACATTCTTCTAAACCACCTGGGTTTCTTGTCCCATATAATGAAGAGATAGTATGCAGGGACCCCAGTCAGAGTGATGACGAAGCCAATCCCCGTACTAAATGGGTCTGAATAAAGGGAAAGAGCAACCATGAAGAGACACGTGAAGGAGAATAAAGCTGGGATGAACAGCGGCACCTGGAACACAGAACAGAAAAAGTCACTTCAAACATAGTTCAAGAGACAAGGTGGGTTCAAGATGAGCACGTCAGTCACTTGATCAGGTGAAACACTTTAGTCATGTAACCAGGTGACAGGCACCATCCTACCTTACCTTAATAGCAAAATCTCTTTAACGGGGCACAGAGACTGTATTAAACATACTCCCTTAAATTTTTTTTTAATCTTTGGATAGATTAAAACCTAAGGATAAATAAGTGTGTTTCCTTAGAGATGTTCTGTTTGAATTATTTTTCTAGTTAAGTACCACTACGATTTATGTTTTTTATTTTAAAAGATTGGCTCTTTGATAATTATGATTAGAGTCCACTTTAATGTGGAGCCAAGAGCACAGGCTGCTTGTTACACGTTAAAGTCTTTCAGTGCGTATTGATTTTCTGTTGGAGATTCACAATAAGAACTGACAGGAATAAAACAGGCCAACTCCTACTCAACCACTAATAAAGATCTTGCCAGCATTAGGCAATGAATAAAATTAGAAACAAATTCTGACAACATGACTGACAACATTATCTGTGTTATTTCTTAAGAGCAAATAAATAGTGACGTCAAATCAATCCATGAATGTTCAAGGCTAGAGGAGATGAAAAGCATATTCTCTAGCCCTCCCAAAAGGAAATGCTTAGTTATGGTAAACGGGCTTTCTATTAAGTGGTACATTCATCCATCTTCGCTTTCCCTGTATATTTTATGTTTTTATTGCTTCTAGAGGGTATAATGTAGAAAAACAGCAATGTAATAAGTCATAACATTTAAGAATACTTAAAATGCCTACTTTGTAAAGCAGCATCCTTTTTAAAGTTTTAATTAGTGACAATTCCATACGTATCTGCCTCACTCTTTCTCAGCATGGCTGTCCACAACTATTCAGCATAAAGATAGGTAGAAGTATCCCAGACTTTGAACACATCAGGTCGTTGGACACATCCATGAAAAATCAGCATAACAAATATCCTATATTAATACCACCTCTTTTCAAAAATATGACACACATAGTTCAGTGCAACACAAAAAATTGAGCGAACTATTTTTCCAAGCTAAAAATAAATCCACTGTGAAGGCACTACCCGCAAGAGTTAAACACTTCATTCCAGAGGATGCTGTCCCCTGCCCAAGCTCCTCATCACCAAGTCATGGCAAAGGGAGGACTAGGTATTAGGAGAAAGATTTATGTAAACCCATCAAGATTGCTGAGGTTACCTTGAAAGGACGATGCATATCTGGGCGTTTGTATCGAAGATAAATCAGCCCAGCAACTGCCAGCCCAATAAAAAGCCACCTGGCAAAACTGAGGAAATTCAAAAGACTGTAGAGGTCCCCAGAGAAGAGCATTATCATCGTCAAAGGATGCTGGGGGGGAAGGAGGAGAAAAACCATGCTCGGTGAGTTAAAAGACAACACAGGTGATATCAAACAAGAACATCACTATAAATTATTATTATCTTTTTCAAATGATTATTTATATTGAGAAACTACCATCGTGATTAAAGCCTATATTCGACTAACGTCTTTTCTACATTCTGCTTTTATAATCCCTTTACACACCAGTACCATTATGAGAGGGCCATCGTCATTGCCACTTATTGAGACAGAATTTTATATGGAGGTTTGGGTTTTAGTTGCTTGTACATTTGAGAGAAAAGAAGGTGTTTTCAAAGAGTAAAACCCGGGATACTCAATGACTCAAAATTTAAAGACCCAGAAGCTGAGATGATTAGTAAATAACTAATAATAAAAATCAAAACTGCGTCCAATTGGAAAATTCGCAGAAAGCTCTGCAAATGGTTTCTGATGAGCTCTTGGCTCTGCACACACGAAACACAGCCACTTCTAGGTGACTCAGTCATCTCCTGAATGCAAAACATTGACCTTTTCTTCCTCCACCCTGCCTCTCTCCGTGTGCTTGCCATGTGTGACCCTCAAGACCGCAGAGAAGAATGAAGTGCACAGATCAGCATAGCAAGTCTCTGCAGCTGCACATGCCAAGGACAGCATGACTGATAGCCGAGGCTTAAAATGAAAGCCCTCTTCACCGAATAATACATTCTGTTCCCACAAGTGACGTTAACTTTCAGCACAGAGAGTATGCGTACTTTACAAAGAAATTTCAAGGAAACATTTTGAAACAAATTAAACGCATAAAAAAAAAAAATGTTCAATGCATGCTATGGAGCTCCTGACAGCAGATTCCATTTGAGAAAAATGTTGCAAAACCATAGTTAAAAATGAATATAACATTGCCAATGGGTATTTGATGACTTTTACACCTTCCACAGTCTTTTGTATCCCACACCTCACCAATACTTTTCTCTGCAGAAAGAATTCTACAACTCAAATTTAAGTTTGGGTGCTTTTATTTCTTCCCGTTAGGTTTGCTCTCAAATGTCTCACTTTTAATCATAGAATCACTGCACTGTCTAGAATTCATCAATTTTTTTGTATAATTTTGTGTGCATGTCCTTATAAGGGGCCTATGATGAGACATCTCGGTGTTTTAGGGCTGTAGCCTTAAGGTCCAATTTCAGTAAGTAGAATTGGGACATATTACTCTACATCCTTTTCTGTGAGTCTCTATGTCAATGACAGGAGCCAAGCTAATCATTTCCCTTAGACCACACCAATTTCTACACGGGGGAAAAAGAAACGATGTGATTACTGCCCCATAGCATCAAACACGCATCGGATACTGAATAAAGGGAAGAGATGGAAAATACCCTACCTCCCAAACACCACCAAGATATACACAGAGCCTATCTAGCAATGAATGAGAAAGCAAAGCACAGTCTAAAGTCTGGTCTGAAATCTTCTTTGCTAAACTGTTATTCGAGGTTATATCTAGATATACTTGTTAATATGCATTACCAAAACAATAACAGCTGGCAGAGGAGTGTGCTTGCGGACATGAATCATGGAGAGGATTTCTGGAAGGTGACCCTCTCGAGACGCAACATAGAATAACCTGATGGGAGAAAAATGTGGGTGGAGTTGACTGTGTAATTGATCATTTCAAAGGGAAAAATCCAGAAATCTAAGGAAAAACTTGCCTCTTTTTCATACTAAATGGTTTGGAATTTCTTAGGTGATTACTTTGGTTTCACTTTTCAGATAAGGTAGAAAATATCATGAGAAATCTGACTTAGAATTTTATAAAATCTGCCAACATATTATATTACTCTTTGAGGAGAAACAATAGCAACATCTGACTCAGCATAGCTCTCCGTATATATAAATAGCTGATGGTGAATTTAGTTCTAGATTCCTAGCATTGTATGTGTGTTGTCAACCCAATCCAACACAATACACACACACATGCACACGCACACACACACACACACACACACAACATTTATATTTATCTGATTGGGTTTTAATCTTATATTAAAACAAAAGGAACTTTTGCATCAACCAAAACAAAAGGGATACAGATGGTGGGGTGGTGATTTTTGGTGTCTCTTACTTTACTTTTTTTCTTGCCACCTTTAGAGAAACAAAAGATTTTATCACCAGAAATAAAATGCTGTTGTTAGACTCTATAGACATTCTGTAAAAAAATGCTACAAGCCGTCTTCAGAGCAGGCTATGAGTAGATAAGCAGTGCCCTCTAATGGGCAGAATAAGACATGCTGTTGACGCTTGGACAAAGACTTCAATCGTGATGTCCCTTTAAAAACAACAGGTTTGGAGGCACTATTCCTTTTCTTTTTAAACTTATCCTTATCACATCCAATCTCAAAAACAGAAATGCACTTCTAGAAATGCTTGAACTCACTCACCTGGAGACAGCAAATACACCACCATTCATGGAGCCAAAGCAGGAGAGGGCAACAAAGATCGGAACTGCTAATGAGAAATTTCCCAGTAGCCGCTCAGAAAAGGTCTAGTGAAAGACGGAACGAAGCAAATTAATGCTTTGCCAGAAAGTGGAATAAAACGAATCAATTTAGACCACACTCGCTCTATGACTCTCTGTTAGCCTGGTGATACGTGTATGTTGTATAATCTTTCTTTTTTGGTTAGGGTCAGACTAACTTCTTAGACAGTAATCTAAAGCAGGTACTGCTTTAGATTACTTTAGATTTTAGATGGCATTGCTTGTTGCAAAACTATGGGCAAAGGTCTAAACAAGTAACTTCTCTCTGCTTTCAAAAAGCAATGATCTATTTATTGAATCTACGTCTATCGTCTCTGACTCTGGTAAGTGGAAAAATCTCAGTTCAGAAGTTCTCCTTTTGGAGACAGAAATCCTTCTGTGTAATATCTTCTCTTGAGCCTGGAAAGCCACATTTTTACAGTGAAGTACAAATGTACACTGAGACATATTACAGATACTTGTTTCATATCCCAATCCCACTGTTATGACATAAAAGTGTGGCAAAAAATAATTGATGACAATCAATTACATTATATATATATTATATATATGAGCAGTTCCGAAAAATCTTTGGCACAGAATAATAATCACATTAGTTGAATTTCTATTTATTGAGTCACTCCCTCCCTCTGAGGTATCTGGCGATTCCTTCTGTGGTTTCCTATAAAAAGACTAGAATACAAATACAAGTCCGAAGAAACCAAGCCACAGAAAATATAAAAGATAAAACTTCTGAAATTTCCTTTTATGCCATGGTACGTGCAACATTGCAAATTTCCACAAAGAATGTATTTTCCAAAAAAATATGTGGGATTCTTTAATTGTCCTTGATGCAGCTGGTGTTGTATAATTAATGGACCACATTACGTTCAAAGACTAAGTGCTCCCCTTTGTCTAGTAAGATGAGATGGCTGACCCGACATGGGTGAGCTTTGTACATTTTGTTGTCTGGTAGGACTTATAGCAGTGGGCAAAGTCTGTTTTTAATACAGTGAACTCGTACATAAGTTCAGATGAAATGAGATAATTTGTTCCCTTGGATGTTGCTGATATGAGGTAATAGTGACTATTTTAAAAGGAGTTGACATCTAGTGATGGAAAGTTATTTTTTCATCCTTCATTGTTATGAGGTCATGAATGAATGCTCTCTTACTAGCTAAGTTTTTATAGAAAATAAAAGTATGTGTCACAGAATAACAGTCCCGTACCATGACCTTTGAGAGCAAAGAGGGCCCTGCTGTCAAATGCATTTTGGAAAGTGCTGTAAAATGATGAGTATCCACTTATGCATTAGCATAAAGGAGTTAAAATGCACATTAGCATCTTTAATATTCTAAGAAGTACTATAGCAACAACATCTTTCAACTTTGAATAACTCAGTATTTCCCAAAATTAATAAGATTCCAGGACTAGTATTCAAAAGGATATACTAGAAAAACAAGTATATACGGCCCATTGGGAAATTCTTAAGTGGTACTGTGGGAAAATAATTTTAAGTTGGCCTTTGAAAAGTTTACAAACAGAAAAGAGTGTAGAATATATTGCAATTTGCATACCAAAAAATGCATTCATTTAAATTCAGTAACTGCCGACATGTCTTTAAAGACATGTTGGAAGAATAACGCCTTCTCTTCAACAGGCCTAGACAGATTTTCACGCATGCATATGTGGAAATGTTTTTACAGGAAATTAGCAGTACAGAGAAATCATATGGGATTTTAGCTGTATCAGTTAAACGGAATACGCTACGATGTGTTCTAAAATTTTAAATACTCATGATCATTCACATCAAGAAAAGATTACTGAATTTCAAAACACTTTCTGCTGGAGGGAGCTACTGTAAAATTGTATCAACTCATTAACCTAAATTCAAATTGGCATTTTCCCAACATGGACTTACCACTGCCACTGCATTTGAAAGCAACAGCTCCTCGGCACTAATGGTTGTAAAGTAGGCCACATTTGTTAGCACATAGCCAATGGTGACAATGGCCATGGATATACATATTGCAAGGGGGATGGTTCTGAAATGCACAAAGGAATCACTTATTAGTCATCTTTTGTTAGTCATTCTCTGAAACCAAAGAAGATAACAGGCTAATTCCAATGAAAAATAAAATGGTACATACAATAATAATAGGCTCTGTTGAATATACATAAACATTTCATCGGGGTGAAGTACCACATACTCCTTTATAATTTAATAAGGTCCATGGGGCAGATACTTCATCTGTCTTGTCTATTTCTCTACCCCCAGAACATATGAGTCCATCCCATTATGTACTCCATAAATGCAATAGCAGAGTTGCTCAAACTTGAGCATGCGTCACCTAGAAGGCTTGTTAAAACATAGATTGCTGAGCCGCATCTCAGACTTCCTGATTCAGTAGGATTTGCATGTCTAACAAATTACTGGGTGATTCTGACACTGCTGACCAAGGGGCCATTTTGAGAACCACTATCCTATATACTTTCCAAACACTAATTGTCCACCTGGACACCTTTCTAATACTAGTCCTCAAAAACATCTTTCACTTTCAGTGTTTTCCCCCTCAGTAGTTTCTCTTACTAGCAAATAAGTGCACACTTTTGCAAGTATGAGAGCAGGATATATCTACCTTTCTAAATGATGATAAGAACTTTGTATATAACACAAAAATCACAGAAGGGCTCACAATAATGACTTTGCACTGCCCTGCTGTGAGTTCAAAGGAAGCTCAAAATCATGAGTGTCTATTAAAGCAACAGCATAGATAATCCCACGAAATTAGAGGTGACACACTGTGAGGTACATATGATCGGACAGTGCTGACACTGTGTGGCATCAAGAAGTACCTGACACAAATGCAATGTTACATCTTCATTTAATGCACTGGGAAAGCCAGGAAGTTACTGACCCTAGTAATTTGATTCCATGTTAGCGATACACAGTACTTGCTTAACATAATCACCTCTTCAGACTCTTTCCAGTTCAAGCAACTTAAACCTTCAGCTCTCTGCACAAAGGCTGACAGTTTTTTTAGCCGTAGAGCTTATCAGCCCTTATGGAGCCTTAACCTTGCTGGGTGCCACTAATGAAAACCTCAATATAATTTCTTCCAAGATGAAAATACAGTTCAGAACCAGGAAAAAAAAAGGGGGGGGACACAGCCTGCCTCCCTCTCTAAGCTGAGTGTGTTTAGCACACTAAGTCCCAGCTCATTATGCTGAGCAGCACTACCCCCTATTGAACAGGAAAACCGAGCCAGTCAGCAACTGCCATTCATTATGCTGCTCGGAGCCTGACACTTCCCCTGATCCCCAAAGTCTTAAGCCTTGATGGGGAAACACACTGACCTCTAAATCCTGCCATCCTAATACAAGAGTAGCAGATGTTCCCCTTCTTCAGTGTGAAGAGGGTCCTGTGGAATTTTCTGTTAACATCATAACATGCATTGCTAGTTTTGATTGATAAATGCTCAATTTAAGCAAAGGAAATCACTAGGCCAATTAAGTACAAAGGGGTGCATCCGGCTAATAAAGACGAATTCTGTTTCTTTGAAAGAAAGGCTATATGTAAATGCACAGGGGTAAGAAGGAGAACATGAAAGTGTATATGCAGCTTTTCGACCGCTTACTGTATTATTTTAAACTCGAATCCTTTTCAGCTTTTATAACATCCCAAATGGAGAGTTAAGTTCTTTCTATGGAGGGGAGATGCAGGGAGAGAGGGAGAGAAGGAGAGAGAGACTCTCTTTTCCTTGCAAGAACAGGATTAAGAAATGTCAAGGTTCTGTTAATAAAAAGTGAGGCGACTCATTGTTAAGTGCAGTGAAGTAACCTAACCTGTCCAGGACACGTAGCCCTGTCGCATCATATGATGCTGCAAAATAGCAGAGAGAGGTAAGTCTGAAATTTGGGCTGTGGCCCTCCCAGCATAGAATCTAGCCTCCCAGCTAGGCTCTTCCAAGGTAGTCGCCCTGTGTGTTTCCTGCCTGGAGATTATTATGGTCTTTCTGAGGGATGTTTTCTAAACTGATCTTAGCAGGAGGGATCTTAAAAAAGATAACCTACCAGGTCAGTTTCCCTTTTTTTTTTCTCAGCTTGTCAATAACAAAAACAATAGGAGCAGCTGATGCCATTGACATGGTGGCTGCTATGTGCCCAACATTGTATTAGGGACATTAAATATTTGCCTCATTTTATCCTTGGAAAATCCTGTGAGTTGGGAGCATCGTCACCATTTTATATATGGGGAAATGAAGTCTTGGAGAGTTTAACTAACTGTTCAAGGATGCACAGCTGGCAACTGGAAACCCAGAACTGAGCCGCAGACCTATCCTACCTTGAAGGCAAAGCATTTTAACCACTGAAGTGTTCTCTCCTTCTCATGCATGTGGGTTCTCAAACTCAATTTTCAGAGAAATTATAATTGTTGAAATAATGTTTATTGGAAGGCTCTTATCAAGATTATATTTCTCATGGATTCACTGCAATGCAGTTTCATCTACTATAAAGGAGAAAAAAATTTATTCCATGATTTTCATAACTTTTCTGTGTAACATGAACGTAATGTCAAGAGAATTTTTCAAATAGTTGCAAAGTTTAGGAAATAGTTGTTTTAATGTAATAGACAACAGAGACTCACTTAATAAATTTCCGTAGACAACTTTTTAGAAAAGGAGGAAAAGTAGGCACGCTTGTCAGATAAACTGAAATAGATTATGAACAATTTTACTATCAGCCAAATATACTATGTAGACACTAATGGAAAAATTCAAAGGAACATCAAATGTAGGACAAAAGAGAGAGAAGGTCTAACCTTGCCGCAAATCACAACACACCCAGTAATTCCTTTCTAGATAAAATTAAACCATGGGGATTAGAGGGGTTTTGGCAAAATAGCCACTAGCTTCTGTCCTTGGGTTCCATTTCACTTGGACAAAGGGAAGGAGAGGGGTGCGTGGCCGCCGTGGCATAAACAGCAATCACTTACAGAGGAAAGCTATTGACTTGTTGAGAAGGGCTTGGCACCATGTAGTTAACTCCTGGGTTTCAAGCATCGAAGCTTAAGTCCCACTAGGTGAGCTGATAAAAGCTATTAGGCCATGCCAGAGCAACCTTTCTGGAGGCTTTAGATGCAGAGGGCAGATAAGCATGGTTAGTAACCCAAGATTAAGGCAAATGGCACAAGATAATAAAAGGAATTAAACGATCTGGTAGGCCACTGATATTTCAAAGCCTCTGTATTGTTGCGAGGTATCCACCAATTCCAAGCGCGACAAAAAGCTTTGTCTTTAAACTGAATAAAAATGACTCACACCTAAGACTCTACTCTTCCTCAAATGTTTGTGCATGTTTGTTATGATTAACAAAATAAAAATGTATTTTGAAAAGAATTACTTAATCCTTAAGAGCTTTTTGTCATTACACATAGTCTTTCAAAAAAAAAGGCATTAAGTATGTGAGAATCTGATATTCTTATTAGTTACAAATGGTCTTCAATCAAAAGGTCTTGGATAGTCTTCTTTGCTTGTAGGTTTATTTTAAATTGGCACCTATAACTATTCTATGTCACACATGGGTAAATATTTATTTTATTTGAAATGGTTAAATGGAAGTCTCTGGAACATCTGCTTAGAAGCACTTTCATTCTAAGGGACAGATCTCCCCAGGAATCCAAATGGTCTCAAGAGTAATGGCTAATAGCTTATATTCATATAATCTACATAGCACCAGCAAATATATTTTATTTTTTTATTTATCTTTATATATTTTTATATCTTCAAATATACACATGGCATTTCAAATCCTTTGTGGAATGAGATAAGAGTATGAACAAATAACAAACAAAATTCACAACAACCCATTGAAATAGGAGGTAACACACCCATTTTCAAACAAGGGAACCAAGACTCAGAGAGGTTGTGCTGTGGCCAAGGTCATAAAAGTAGTAGTTGGGAGGGCTGGAACTTGAACCTGGATGTTTCAGCTCTAAGTTTCACATTCATGACATATTTTGTCATAATTTATATCACGGCTGCTTTGTGCTTACTTTAACTCTAGGTACTACGTCCCTAGGATTTTTATATGATGACAAAGTTATTATATTTTATATAAATGATGTAAATATCAGAAGGCTGACTGTTACAATATGACACATTTGAAGCCAAGTATATTTTTCTATGACTACCTAATAGTCATCACAAACAAACTTGCAAATAATGCAGCTCCGGATGCATTTTTGAATATTCTTTGCAACTGTATAGTAGAGCTTCAGAAATGACCATAGTTCCAGTGCTTCATATTGGCTAAAAAGACTCTTGCTATGAAAACTGAATGAGTAAGCCTAGCTTGATTCTCTAGAGAGTTGAGGACAGCTGAAGGTTACAGGGATTTCTGATATTCAGACCATATGAGTAATTCTAATCACTTGCATTTAGGATATTCCCCAAATTGTTTTATAACTTGAACAAAACCTTCTGAGATTTGTGTGAACCAAAATGTTTCATAAAATTCTCTGTATTGGATGCACAGTGGAGACCATAGAACTCATCAATCCTGGGACATCTAAAATTGTCTTTGAGCCATGGGGTTGGGTGTGATAACAGTCAGTTCTGTTACAACTTACTCTTGTCTATTCTGGAATCTTCTAAGAGAAGTGGTTGATGCTTCACATTTTCTATTTAAAAATCATTAATATTTTAACACATGCATTTGGCATTCAGGAAAAATGAAGGAGGGAAAAAAGGAGATTATGAAGGACGAGAAAATGGCAAACATTAACATGAGAGATGCAAAAAATAAAATAAAAATGGTTTTTCCAATTATTTTTTATTCTATTAGTAAACTAGAGACTATTTGTTTATATATAATTGAAATATAACTGTGATTCATCTCAACATAAAGCATTTAAAATTATAGTAAATCTTTCGATCCTAAGTATTTATTTTAGAATCATACTTATTTCACATTTTCTTTATAATGACCTTGTAGAGACCTCAAAAGTTTTTCTGTAGATCTGACCCAGAAATGACTCAAGCAT